AAACGCTTCAATCGCCAAAGATGGAGTTACTAAGATACGAGGGTCTGCTTTTGGGAGACCAGAAGACTGGCAGATGGGAGGACGCTCTGCCGGCCTCCCACGAGGGCGGGATGTCATAGCCTAGAGCTGTTGGTGTCTTCCACACTGTTTCAGTCCAGCTGGTGAAAAGCACCTTCACTCATGGTCAGTGACATGATGTGGTAAAGGGGGAGGTCCCTAAGGCCTTCATCCCCTCCCCACCAGCCCTTAGGCCAAGCGGCCACTGAAATGGGCCTGGAGCTTTGGCCTTTCCCTTTGTCTTTTTCCATTCCAGGTGCAGGGAGTGGTACCTTCTCCCCAGCCCCCAGAAGCTCACACGGCCGGGAGCCAGGAATTCAGCCCCGCAGTGAAGCCCTGGGGATGGAGGGACCAGGATGCTAGCCAGTGGGACTTTGGATTTGAACTAGGAGGGCCTAATGCAATGTAGGAATGGAGCAAAGACATTTTGTGAATGAGTGGGCCTAATAATCCTTCCTTGAGAAGGTGGGAGGGAGGTGATAAGGGTTGGGGAGAATGTTTGTACGTTTGTCCTTGGTATCTTTGAAGTAAATATTCCTTTGTCCAAGGCTCAATGGAAGTGGAGGGCTGGCTTGGGCCCCTAAAGAGGGGAGGAGCACAGTCAGTGAGGCTGGAGCCAGTGGTAGAGAAGAGAGGATCCCCAACCTCCTTAGGGTACCAGCAACTCTGGGGGTGGGGCCAGGGGCAACCATGACTCATACAGGATAAATCCAATGATTTCATAAAAGGAACGCAAGCCAACAGCTTGGGGAGCCATAAAAAGGCTTCTTTTAACATGGCTTTTTTATTTATTATTTAAAAACCTGATATCCTTTGTTCCTATATGATCATTTCTGAATACATCCCTATCTCTTCCAGCCCAGCGAGCTCAGGAAAGGCCTCTGGGAGGAGGCCTCTGGGAGGAGGGGACATTTGAGCCACAACTTTAAGGGAGTTAGATAGGAGGACAGAGAGCGTCTGAGGCACTGGGACAGACAGACAGAGGCAGAAGGCAGAAGGCTGGGCACACAGCTCAGACCAGTATGGCTGGAGGAACACAAGCAAAAGGATGGTATGACCAGCTGAAAACGCCCCATGGGGGTCTCTGTCCGAGGTCAGAAGGAGTCAGTCCCTCAAGCTGCTTAAGCAGGGGAGTGACGTGGGCATCCCTGGGCTTTGGCAGTGGCGTGGAGGACCTCTTGAGACAGGGAGAGAGAGACTAGAGATGCCTTTATGGCCACAGGAACCCAATGCAAGCCCCAGTCAGGGAGCAGGCAGCACCCGCACTTAACAGTCAGCCCACTTGGCCTTGGAGACGCCACAAGACATGGTCAGTCAATGATACATAGTGAATGTGTACTGAGCAAGGCACCGTCCGTTTTAAACAGGGGAAGAAATTGGCTTCAATATGGACAAGAATTTGGTTGGGACTTGAATCCTGGGTTTTAGTAGCTAGAAAAATCATCATTGAAAATGATAGCCAGGTTCTCTCAGGCTATACAGGCATGGAGTTATTCCCAGAAAGTGTTTAGTCTCAGGCCTGTTACTACTGCTGGGGAATGCATTAACTTCATAAGAGATGACCAGGAGCTTGGCAAGGAACCCAAGCCCCAGAGCCCTTCGTTATGGACTCTCTCCTCATTTCTGGGGATCAGTGCCCTGCTCCTGCATGAGGGGCAAGGTGGGGTTCTTCTGGCTTCCAGCTTCCAGGCTAGCCTCTTTTCAGGTCGCTGGACTGAAGGTCTCTGGGAAGAAGGCAGCGGGAGAGGAGCCGGGAGTCTCCGTCACGTCTCTGTCCCCAGATTGCTACACGAGTGACTTTGGGGAACTTCTCTTGGCTGAGAGCTGGAAGTCTCTCCAGATGAAGTCGAGTTACCCCAAAATGGGGCCCGACACACCTGAAACGACAAAGCCTCGCTCCCACTGGGAGAGTGCCTTCACTGCATGTCTAACCCATGTTCTGTGTAAACTTTCTCTGGTTTCTGCTCACTGTGGGATTGGGTGAGTGGGTTTCTTTAGTACTTTCTGTGTGTGTGTTCATTGTAGAACCTGTATTTGGTGCGGAGAGCATTGAGCTTGGGGGGCCTCTCTTTCCCCACTAATGGATAGCAGTCAGGACTTTGGCATGAACCCAAAGTCACATTCCCTAGACTGACGGTATTGAAGGGAGGATGAAGATAAGAAGCTAGCCCCCTCTCTCTGAGCAAAGCCTCTGGCCCCAGCCTCCTGTGAATTAGCCCCTCCCTTAGGACAGGGTAGGGGAAGGAGCATGTCACCAGAAATGGCTGTTCTTGCCTCTCTGTGAGCCTAGCGTGACGCCCAAAAGAAGGCTTGGGGCTGAGGGGAAGGCTGCAGCAAACCAGGCAAAGCCACCAGCAGAAAGGCCGCAGGACACACCATGATGGCCTCCGGATGGGAAGGGGGCTAGGGATTCAGTAACAGGGCCCAGGGGAGGCGTCTCCAAATCAGCTTGTGGTAGATGGCAGGCGCCTCCTCTGCCCCCAGGACGGCACAGCAGCTTCCCTTCCCCCCAGTTCTTGGGCCAGGAGACTGTGCCTCCCAAGCTAGCGTAGAGGACCATCCCCTACCATGTTAGGAAAGCCCATGTGGTTGGGAATGGAGAAGACCCCGGGGGAGCCTGAGAGCTTCTGTAGGGAGCAGGGTATATGGTTGTTCTGTTTGGCCCCAGAGGCTGACTCTAGAGCAGTGGGGAGGGCATTGGTTGCAAAGGGGTCGATTTGGTCTGGCTGTCTGGAAAGCCTCGAAGAGGCTGCCCCAGGGGATGGCAGGCTCCTTCTCCTCCAGGCTGCCTGGAAGCAGGGTCTGGACTAGCAGGCAGCAGGGATGTTTTTGCGGGAATTCCTTTTCAGGTAGGAGTTGGGCCTATGAAGACAGCCTACATGTGGGGCCACCAAGGAGCAGCCCAGGGCATTGGGGATTTGCTGGGAGGGTCAGGGCACTGCCGAGATGCCTCTGATGGGGTTCCCTCAGCTGAGGTTACAGATGTGGGGAGCTGGAGATTGACTTGTCAGGGTGAAGATTCCAGATGTGGATGGTCTGAGGAAAGGGGCACGGTGGGTGAGGGGTGTTAGGGGACCTCTCTAGCCTCCCCAGACTTGCCTCTTCTCCCCGCTCTCCCTGGCTGCTGGTTGCTCTCCTGCATCCTCCCCTCACCCCCATCACCTTGTCTTTCTTCTTCCTGCACCCACGCATGTATGGGCTGACACTGAGATGGAGGGCAGGCTCCTTGATGGCAGGGCCAGGCTCATTTTGTGTTCTTGCCCCCAGGGCCCGGATGAGCCCCGTGTGGCAGCTAATTACGGAACCATCAGTTTTCCTTCCTGTTCTCAGTGTCTGGTCCTGGGGCCAGAGCGCCTTTGGCAGGGGTGACTGTGGCTCTGGAGACACTAGGGAGAAACAGAATGAGTGGAACAGTGGGCGAGGAAGCGGCCTTAATGCCAAGGCTGTTTTTACACTGCTGCCCCCTTTGTCTGTGGCTTGCCGTGGGGTCAGAACCCGTTCGAGGCCTGATGGGACAAGACGATGTGATTTCGGGGCTGTCCTTTTCTCCCCCCAAAGTCTGGGGCCCGGACATACGCCCCTCGTGTCCTGGGACCCTCCTCCTCGCCCTGTCTTCCTACATCCCACCGCCTCCAGGGGCTCCTCCGCCTTGCGCCTCTGGCCTCCCTGCGGCACCTCCCACGGGATCACCATCCCTCAACTCCAAGCATGTTCCCGGCTCCTCTCCACCCCTGGCGTCCTTCAAGCCTCTTCTTAGTTCTGTCTTCTACAAGAAGCCCCTCCCCGAACCCGGCTCCAGCTTCTCCTGTCTGCGCCTTGTTTGTACCTAGCAGTTTGCATGTGGTTTGGGAGCTCCTGGAAGGCAAGAGCTGTCTTTGACCCTTCTTTGTATCCCCAGCACTCAGCACTGAGCCACGCACACAGTAGGTGCTTAATAAATGCTCATTGACGACTAGCTGACCTGTGATAGACAGCATACAGAATGCTAGCATGTCAGTCCTGGAAAGGACCTCAAAGGTCATCCAGTGCAGGTTTATTGTACCGGTGAGGAAAATGAAGCCCAGAGAGGCGCTTTGACTAGGCCAAAGCCACACAGCTGGCATGCAGCAGAGCTGGGCCTGGAGCGGGGGCGGGGGGCCGGGGGGGGCCTCTGCGGCCACGGCCAGGGCTCTAACCACTACCCTTCACTACCTCCCTGCTCCAGACTCCTCATCCTACAGACGGGGATGTCAGGAGCACCCAGCAAGCGGCGTCGGAGCTGGACCTCGGCTCTATCTTTGTGACTCAGGCTCCCGCGTCTCCCTTGGCGTCTCTAGGGACTGAGCTGGGTGAACTGGATGGGGGTGTTCATACGAGAGCACCCCACCTTCCCATCGCCATCTTGGGGGACATTTCACCAGCAGATGCAACGCCCTCCTAGGACAGCGAGCCCTGACGTCACTGCCAAATGCCAGGCCGGCACGGCCGGGCGCCGAGGCGGCCCCTGGATCGAGAGCGTTGGCTTCAAGTGAAGATGGCTTGCTTTTGGGGGGGGTAGGGGGTGGGGCGCTGTCCAGGAGCCACCTCCATGGGACGAGCGTTCTACCGAGAGAACCGTCTTTGTGTTGCCTGGCGTTGTGGGCCGGCCATTCGCTACTTATAAAAACTGAGCGACAGCTTTGGGAGCTCAGGGGAGGGGCCGGCAAATCCCGTAATAGCGGCCGGCCGGCACTAGAGTCGAGGAGAACCGAGAGTGATAAGAGGCAGCCCTCCCTTCTGTGCAGGCAGGCGGTGGGCTGTGGGTGCCTGACACTGTAGACGCTATCTGATAGCAAGGAAGGCTCGCTGCTTGGGGCTGGGGAAGGACACTTCAGGAAATGGAGTGCGCGCAGGGAGGCGGTGCTCGGCTAGTGGAGCAGCCGCCTCCAAGCGCCCCCAGAGACGACTCACTGCCACCAGGTGGGTCCATTGTTAAAAACTTTTATTTTTGACAGTGAGGAAAGCATGGCACCCCTGCCGAGTGACGGCACTCCTCCCGTGGCCCTCGCGCTCCCTGGGCACGCTTCTGCAGGCCTGTCCAGACAAGCAACATGCCCCCTGCTGACCGGAGCGCAATCTGCGCAGAGCAAAGGCAGACGGCACCGAGTTTACAGCAAAACGGAACAAAACCCACACAGACTCGTTTGCATAGTTAACCAAGAGAAGCCCAAGCAGCCGCCGCTTACTCCCACCCATCCCAGCACCGTGGAAATCAGTGGCCAGGAGCTTGTTCCCCGGTCTGCGGGGGGCTGCAGCGTGGCATTGGATTAGAAAGTGACTTTTAAAACAGAGAAGACTGTGTCCGTTTGTCCACCACACAGCTGGGTCCCAAAGCTCTCTCCTCTCTAAGGCCTCGTCATCTGCCTCTCTTGGCGTCCCTGGGATGTGATCGAGGGAGCGTCCCTTCCACCGGCCACGCGGAGCAGGGGACCTTTCTTTTTAATGAACAGAACACTTTGGAAATCCAGAGGGTGAAGCAGACACGCTTTCAGAGATCGGAGAAACAGCAGCAGGGGAGCCCTGGCACCGCCCCAGACACTGGGGCAGCTCCTGGATTTCCAGAACCCAAGGCGTCCTGTCCGGTAACTTGGCATGTAGGCTTGGCACCCGGCAGCCTAGCGAGCAAAGGACCCCAGACCGCGGGGTGAACCACCCTTTCCTTGGGCTTAACAGAAAACTGAACTCAGGGTTGCTTTGGCGATGGGGGGGAGACATATGGCACATGGAGATAAAACATTTTTAACCTTTTGTGGTTTTGAATGCCTATACATTACTAATGGCAATAATTAAAAATACCCGTATCCATTTTTCCTTTTTAAAGCAAACATTCAACTCGTTTTCTGGCCTCAAGGTTCCAATGCTATTGCTTCATTAAAGTGGAGGTGCTCTGACAATGTGTGTCTTGCCAGAAATGAAGACGGAATCTTGAGTGGTGGCAGAAGGCGGCCACACCCAGCTGCCACCTGTTGAGTCAAACAGCTCCGGTGGCTTCAGGAAATACTCCACATCAGAAGGGTCATCATCCCCCAGCTGTAGGGAGCAGACAACTCTGGGCCCCGGCCTTCCCTGCATTGTGAATTTAAAGGCTCTCGATCCTCTTTCAAGGCTGTCCAGGGATGCCAAGAAAGAACATAATTTGGTTGTATCTTGTTGAAATTCATCTGTCTGCCGGAGGTCAGAACAGAAGGTCCAATGTCTGTGTATGTGGGGACTTGAGACATGAAAAGACACTTAGGATCAACATTCATTCACAGACATTTAAGGCAATGGGTTCGATCAATCACTGGTTTGATGAATGAGCATCGAACAATGGCTCCACCCACAGTTGTCATGGAATGGAAACGCTGGTGAGCCGACTGGGCTCCAGGCCCCAGGCCCCACTTCAGACTGCTCTGCGGGCCAAAGCCACCATGGCAGCCACCCACCATGCAGGGGGCACACTTCTGGGCAGCTGAGTTTCATCACTCCACATTCCAATAAGAATTAAAGCAAAAAACCAGTTTTGACCTCAGCTAGCATGCGCATAACCTGGGCATCCCTGGCCCTGCTTCTCCATCAGAGAGGCTCTGATGGAGAAGGGACACAGGACATGGGGATGGTGCTTACATAAAAGATTGGCTGGTTCTTTTTTAAGCGATGCTCTCCAGATGGTGTTATTGTGCAACAAGGCTTACAGACCTCGCTGCAAATGCTGGACGAGGAACGAAAGCCCTCTCTTTCCCTGCAGCCCTGATCGAGTAAGATGCCCAGCTTCGGGGGGGGGGGGGGGGGCAGGCCCCCCACCCCCATTCCAGAACTTCTCAAGGTGTGTTCTTTCTCTCCCTGTTTGGCACGAGGCTGGCCCACTGATCCCAGTGGTGAGGACTCTCTCTAACACAAAATGAATGCCAGGGCACGATGCTGTACTTTTGTCACTTAATGTCCCCCAGAAGTTGAGACAAGAGAGCTCCTGGGTCCGGTGGGTGCCCCTTGTTGGGGGACGAGATTTCCCATATTGGCAGATCAAAGCAAGTGGGTTTTTGGTGTAGGCACGGTGGCAAAGAACAGTATCACAGCCGCCAGGGAGAGCTCCATCTCTGACAGAACAGTAGCAGCAATGAAAAAAAGAACTCCCAGGACAGCTCGACGGGCGTGTCCGACTCACCCCAATGGGCTACTTGAAAGGAAAGACGTTGAGACATTTGTTTTCTGCCTCCAAAGACAATGGGACTTTTGTCATCGCATCGCGAAGGGTGTCTGGATGGCAGCAGGGTAGGAGATGAGACGTCTCGTCTCTCTGGGGGGGAAGGGACTGAAAGACCAATTTGTGACCACTTAAAAAAACCCCAACCAACACACTCCATGACATGAAACCTTTCCGAGGGTGCTTAGGTCACACACACGCTGTCAGAATGGATGGAGACAATGAGGACAAACACGGAACCGTGGGAAACACCGAAAGATTCCAAGATCTTAAGCCCGACGTGGAAACGTGTCCGGAGCCGTGGAAGCAAATCCCATTCCGGGGGCAGAAGGGGCCCCAGCACCTCAGCTGCCCTTTCTCTCCGCTTTTTTAGTTATCATATATTACAGTGCTCTATAAAACTCTCCTGTTTTTTTTTTTTTTAAAGCAGTTAGACAATAAAAGATTAAAAGATGTCTGGAAATACGCAGTATACAAAAATTAACTTTTATCTCAAAATAACATTCCAAAGGCACTTCATTCAGTAGGAAAGAAACTCAGAGTCAGTTCCACTGCTCTAAGCAGGAATGAGAGGGAGAAGGTCTGAATGTTGGCATTGGAGGAAGGAAGGTCAGGAGCAGGGTTCAACCGTTGAAACACATCAAGATTCATTCCTTTTTTTGGTATGTTTTAAGAAAAAGCGATCCAGGAAAACATGTTTCTATTTATGGAATTCATGAAAAGAGTTCCTTTTAAAATAGTGATTTTCTTTTCCTTTTTAAAAAGAGGCATGATCGACCATACTCTCGGAGACCGACGGGAAGCGTGGCAGAGCCGGCCGGGCCTCCCCTTGCTGTCCCTGGTGACGAGGGCCTGATGCACGTGGCCCCTGTTCATCTTCCTTCCAGGTCTGGCAGAAACTGCCTCCTCCCAGCGTCCATTTCCAAGCGTGGACAGTGGAGATGGTCGGAGCCTGGATGCGTTTCAGCCACAGCCAGGGTGGAAGGAGGGATGAGACCAAGGCTACCTGTGGCAGAACTTCTGAAGCATGCCGTAGACGTCTTCCTCACGACTCAGTCCTTCGAAGAAGGGGATTAGGTCCAGCAGCTCGGTGTCACCCATGTCGTCGAACCAGGACTGCACAGGGACCTGGAACGGAGCAAGTGACAGGGGGATCACTGGCTGCCCAGAGCCAGAGGACGGCCTGGCCCGGGACGCAGACTCCAGCCCCGCAGGTGGCCCGGCTGCACCAATCCCGGCTCACTGGCCTGGCTCAGTCCATCTTTTAGGGAATCACCATCCCCGTGTCCTGTGCCCCTTCTCCATCAGAGCCTCTCTGATGGAGAAGCCGGCCAGGAGCGCCCAGGTTACACGCATTCTAGCTGAAGCTGAAAACTGCTCTGGCTGCACTTCCCTCCTCTCTCTACTGAGTGGCCTGGACTCAGGGCCTCTTTTATTCCTTTGCTTTGCTGACAAACTCTGGTGTTTTTTGTTGTGATGGCTAGGGATCCTGACGATGGCAACCAGTAACTCTCCTGATACCGCTGCCCTCGAGAGGCTCCCTGGAGTGTGGATGGGGCGCTGGGGAAATGGAATTGGGAAGCCCTGGGCCTCAGTGCCACCTTGGGCACTTTGGGCCCATCCTCTCTTCTCCTGGACCCCTCCCCGACCCACCCCCATTCCTCCCTCTTAATTGGGGGGAGAGTCTGTCAGACAGAAGAGTTTCATGTCCTCAAACCCACGTACAAAGCTCCTCTTCCAGATTTCATGTTTTATTAAATTTGGGGGGGGGGTGCCATCCTCAGGATGGTCCTGAGCATCAGGAATCTAGAGGCAATGAGAAAACCAAAGCGATGCCTCATGCCAGATGACTCTGCTGAGGCTTCCGCCCCAGTCGCAGGAAGCCTGGTCAGGGCTGCGGGGCCAGAGCTGCCAATCCGAGGCAGGCCTCCAGGCATCTAGGCACCCCAGCCTGTCTCCTGGCAAAGCTGAGGGGCACAGGAGGGCGCGGGCCCCCTCTTCACTTTCAGAAATGGTCTTGGAGCTGTGAGAGCTGTCTCACCCCATTAAGGGCTCCCATCAGGACGAGAGTCACAGCCAGATTTGGGCCAGGGCTGGGTCAGGAAAACATTCCCTACAGAGTGAGCTGGTCACTTCACTCATATCTGTGGAGGGTGCACAGGAAGGCCTGCCACACTGCCCCAGGTTGGCCCTGGGGGGGGGGCCCTTAATCTAGGACACTTCCTGTTTCTGAGATGGTCCAGGCCTCCCAGGGACTCCCCAGACAGACAGTTCTTTTTCTACACTGGCCCCAGTGAGCCAGGAGCTCACCAGGCCTCTATGACCTTGGACCAGGCCTTAGAAAGTAGAGCAGAAGGGCCCAAGTCCATGGTTACTGACCCCCTCTTTCCTGCAGCCCCCTGCCCCAGCCTCAAGCCCCTCCAAGCAGGGAACGGGCAGGAAGGATGAAGCACCTAGAATGAGGACACCTGGGTCTGATGACCACCTTTGGCACTTCCCATGGCAAGTTCCTTCACGGTGAGCCTCAGTTTCTTCCACTGTCATATGGGAATATTGCCATGTGCACAACTGCCTTCCCTGGGCCCTGGTCTTGGAGGCTGGAGGAGGAAGCGGGCCAAAGTAGGCAAAGCGGTGCTCCTTTGCGGGCTCCTGAGACCTGGGCAACCCCATGGGCTGAATTTCTCTGGCCACAGCTGTGGCTCCCCTCCTGAAATGCAGAGCCCACAGCTAAGACTGGGGGCATGGGCAAGACCCGAGGGGCCACTGCTACCCTGTGAGGGGAGAGCTCAGAGAAGGGAAGGGAAGCCTGCTTTAATATTAACTGGAGCAGCCCCCAAGCTGTGCCCACTCGAGAGCAGGCCAGGCCTTTGGTTCAGCACGGAGACAACTGTCCTTAGAAAGCACTTACCGCATTCTCTGGGTGGAAGATGTAAGAGGCTGGAGAATTGTCAATGATGATTACTTTGCTCAGCTCCCGCCCCAGCTGGCTGAGGTCCTTCACGTAGTTTCCTCGGTGGAAAACACAGGATTCTCTAAAGAGCCTTGCCCGGAACACGCCCCAGCGGTCTAGCAGATCTGCCACAGGGTCTGCGTACTTTAGAAACAGAGAAGCGAATGAAGAAGGGCCAATCCAGAGCCCTGGCGGTGGGCCGGCCGGCAGGGAGGGGCGGGGGACAGGGGATGGGGGTGCAATACAGTATTCTGAAGAGATCTAGACTCAGAATATCACAGAAATTCATGCAGGGTCCCCGACCCGTCTCGCCAGCGGTGGCAGGCGGGCTGTCCCCGGAGTAGGAGGTGAGCTAAGCGGCTGTATTTTCATGGATGTACATGTATCAAATATACATTTATATGCCCATCCATCCATCCCTCGCTTTATCTTGAGTTGATCTAAGAGAGAATTCCCATTTCCCAGGCTCCACAAGGGCCACCTGGAGGCCACTGACATGGCATTGTATGGAAATGCACTCATGTTCGTTTCCGTGGCTTCACCAGATTTCTACCCATTGTACAGGCAGGATGCTTACTGACTGTCTCCAGGTGGCCCTGTGGCCAAGGCCGTGAGGACACGGGATGGAGTCAGAGCCCCTGTGGGGCCTCCCTCTTGTTCCCCTCTAACCCTCTAAATGGAGTTGATCAGATTAGTGAACAGTCACCCCTTGGAGTGTGGAAATGGTAGTGCTGGTAAAGGGGGGTTCTGCGAAATGTGCAGAAGAGAGGCCTGAATGAGGCCCCTGGGGAGGGAGGCGGATGTGAGTGAGGGATCCAGGAAGGCCTGGGACTCAGGTAACAGTCTCTGCCTGTCCCTGATGGGCTGGAATCAGCTGCTGAGCCCTCAGTTGAAGCCAGAGCAAAAGCTCAGACAGAATTAGTCCATCTTGCCACTTTCTGGCCTGATCCTGGGCCTTCGAGGGCTGCTGAGCCTGAACAGACGACCACACACATTTCCCAGAGAAGAGCCACACAGCTGACCCGACCGGAGAGGCTCAAAGCCTGAGGGAAAGCCTGGGGGAGCAGCAGGCCCCTGAACCAGCCCTCCTCAGGAGGGATGGCATAGCAGACTCACATTAGATCACGGGCCTGCCGGGGGAGGGGAAGGCCACTCCCGGCAGGGCCTCGTCCTCAGCTGTTGGCAGGAGCAGATGGCAGGGACGATGGGCGCATGCGGGTGTACTCCCCCCCTCTCTACTTATCACTGCCCACATCAGTGCCCAGTACAGGGTCTGACACACAGAAGGGCCCCCCCCAAGGCAATGCCAAGTCTTCAGGCCTGAAGCTTATCAACCGCGAGCACAGAGAGGTCATGGGAGAGCTAGGCTGGACCAGCCTCACTAACATTCATCTTTTAGAGGATTCTCTGGGAAAAACTGGACCTCCCCAAGTCTGTTTTCCAATCTGAATAGAGAAAAAGCAGCAGGTCCAGGCCCATTAAAACCTTGCTTCCCCGGCTAGGCCAGAGGCCAGCCAGCTTAATGAGGAGGGGCCCAGGACAGCACAGGCCCCGTGTCTTTGCCGATGCTTGGCCGGGCCATGACATGCCCACGTCAGCTGTGGCGGAGGGGGGAGCAGGCAAATGGAAGCAGCTGTGGGCGGCTGGCCTGGCAAAAGCCACTAAACGATGGAAGGAATTTCAGGCTCTTCCCTCTGGGGCAGCAGGCCACCCGAGGCTGCCCAGAGCCAGGGGGAGGAGCTCGGCCCAGGTGAGCCCTGCCCCCAGCCACCACCCCCTCTGGCCAGCACCGAGTGTGTGCTCCCACCCCTGCCCATCACAGCCTCTCTTCGCACTTCTGCTGGGCCCAGTGCTGAGGACGCCTCAGCACTGGGTCACCCCAGTGATGAGGGGGTCACCCCATTTATCCAGAGAAGGAAAGAACATTTTGGGGATGGGGAAGGCCGGCCCCGGGAGCTTGGTCTGGTGTGTGCTTCGTGCGCATTTGTGGACATATGTTGCCTCCCCCAGCAGAACGGAAGCTCCCTGAAGGCAGGCACTGTTTCTTCCTTGTCTTTGTACCCCAAGGCCTAGCAGAGCCCATGGTACGTTGTGGGCACTTAATAAATGCTGGCTGGCTGGCTAGGTGGCTGAAAACCTGCATTCTGAGCCACCGGCGTCAGGGGAAGAACTTTGGACGGAAGGACCCTCACCAGGAGGCCATGTGAGTGGAGAGAAGCAGGGTTTTGGAGGTCGGGTGCCTATACCTTCGTGACCACGGGACACATGGGGCGGGCTGCCCGGACGGACTCCAAGACTGGGGTGCCGGCCTCTGGCACTAGCCAGAGTCAGGAGATCAGGGTGCAGACTAGCCATGTGACCGAGACAATGAGGCAGGTGGACGGCGTGTCACTTACGGTCGTCCTACAGAAGTTGGGAGGTCAGGAGGAGGGCAAAGGTGGATTCTGCTTTGGATGCCGAGTTGGAGGGGTCTGGGACATCCAGGCGGTGGTGCCCAGCAGTCACTGGAGATGTGCAGCTGCAGCTTAGGTGGGAGAGGGCTGGGGTGTGCCCCGAGGTGATTATCGCGCCCACGGGAGCTGAGAAGATCACCCGGGGACAGAGAAGGAAAGACGGCCCAGGGGAGAGCCCGGGACCACAGGAGGGCTTTGTAAAGGGCTGGTGGGAAGAGCTCATAAGGATGATGACAGAGGATGGCAGAGGGTGGATGATGGAGGAGATGGGGAAGGGTCAGCCAGAGTCAAGGGGGGGGAACTGAAAGAGATGATCCGGGAGCAGGAAGGGGGCTTCTCAAACACCCCGGCAGGTCAAGGCTTGAGGAGTCGAGCGGGAAAGAGACTGGTGGTGGCTTTGGGCACGGCGGTCTCAGCAAAGTGGTGGGGAGGCACAGAGGAGACCAGCAGAGCTCCGGAAGAAACCACCACTTGGAACAAGGCTATGGGAGCTAAGGGGCACCAGCAAGGCGCCAGCTGCAAGTGGCGAGTCGCCGCCTCACCCACCATCCTCCTTTGTGGGTCCACTCGTGGGTGGCTCAGGAGCCAGGCTTCACAGGGCCCCTGCGGTACCTCAGTGGAGACCTCTTTATCTAGGAGTTTGGCGATGAGGAGGACAGAGAGGATGGCGGGGTCATGTTTGTAAGCAGCAGGGAAGGAAGAAAAAGAAGAAAAGGGCCTGTGTGAATCCGTACTGGGCCCCGCCATCCTGGCAGCACGGGGCAGTGGTGGGGAAGGCTGATGGGGTGCCAGTGAGGGTGAGACCAAAAGCAGAGGCACCGCCAGGCCTGAGTCTGTCATCAGGCTGGAGACAAAGGCAGGAAGGAGGGGACGTTAGGGCCAGGAAGGACCTGGGATTTCAGAGTTCTGGACCATGATGGCAGCAGTGATGGGTGACAGTGGGACTTCCGCTGTGACCAAGCCTGCCAGGGAGGCAGGAAGGGGTGGGGGGAGGGGAGCCAGGATGCCTCGGAACCGAGGGCTGGCCTTGTAGGGGTCGGCAGTGACTGTGACGAGGTCCTGGGCATCAGTAAGGAAGCTTTAACTGCCGGCTGGGCATGTTGGGGCACGAGAAGAGCCACCAGCCCTAGGGAGGGCGGCCAGGGACCAAATGTCCAAACTGAGAGAGAGGAAGCGTGAGGGGAATCTGATGATACAGTGACGGCTCCTGAAGGCTGGAGCCAAGGAGGGGAGGGGAGGGGAGGGAATGGCAGCGGGGGGCTGGTGCTTTGTCAGCCATATGACACACAGGGCCCAGCTTCTGGGGTCCGCTGATGGCAGAGAGTTGTAGGAGGGGTCGGAGCTGCAGGGTCAGCAGATCTCTGGGACCGGGTGAACCCACTCGAGGGCCTAGCTCTTTGGCTTGGTCCCATGCAGGTGACGTGGGACGAGGTCACCCCAAGATGCTCCGCTCACAGGTCTGATGGACAGCCCTGGGCCAGGCTCCAACAGTGATCTGGGTGGGCCGTGCCCTCTGCCCTCACCCCCTTGTACTGTCCTAACGCGTGCCATGTTGAACCCCTCATGGGAGAATGTGAGCTCTTGGAGGACTGGTATTTCGTGCCACCAGGGAGTGGTCAGCTCTCATCTTGTGCTGGCCTGGGTTCCTGCAGGCCAAGCCCTAGGGGAACCCTCGCTCAGGCAGCTCTGGCTTTGGGCATCCCACGGGACAGCCTGTGTGTTCCTCCGCAGCCCACCAGCCCCGCTGAGCTCCCAAAGCTGGCCTGTTCACCTTCTCTTAGGCAGTTTTTCTGCCAGCAGTGGGAACATCCGCACAGGGTCCCCTTTGGTCAGACGGAGGGCTGCGCTCAACCCAGCACCCTTACATGTGAGCTTTATGATGCTGGCAAGAAAAGCTTCTTCTTATCCTAAGGGCCCCTCCCTCGCCCCAGAGCCCACGATGCCAGGGCGCTCTTATGGGTGGCAGAGCAGGGATGACCCCAAGGGGGAGCCAGTGGCCAGACACAGATACGTGGGTTTCACTGAGGACTGTTCTGGGGTCACTGCCACTGGCTGCGCGTCATTAACCTCCCGGGTGCCCTAGCTCCCGTGCCGCGCTGCACGGCACGCCCTCAAGTCCCAGAACTTTGGGCCTCCTTCATCTGCTCTTGGCTATAGCCATGGCAACCACAAACCTCTCACTGTGGTATCCCGAGCCCCCCAGTACAAACAGAGGCTCTATTGTAAGCCAAGCCCGGATGGGCTGGGATCCGGTCCCCATGGAAACCCCCCAGCCACACAGTGACAGAAAACACCCTTGTCAGATAGCAGAGGGAGGGAAGGAAGGAATGAGGGAAGGAGGAAGGGAAGGAAAGAGGGAGGGAGGCAGGAAAGGAGAGATTAAGACAGCCCCTCCACACACCCCTCCCCGCCAGGACAAACCTTCGCTAGGCTGGCCGTGAAAAGTACACACTCAAAGAGCTGCCCCATCCTTTGAAGAAACTCATCCACATGTGGTCGTTTCAAGACGTAGACCTGGAAAAAGATGGGGCTGTTTACTGACAGTGTCTGTTTGGAGAGGCTGAGCAGCAGGGCAGGGGCTGAGGTCGGAAGGCCTGCTGGGGATGGCCCCACGAGCCCCGCAAGGGTCCAGCTAGGCCCTTCACCTGGGAGCCCCATCTGTGGCTCTGGGAAAGGGGAAGCGGTGGAGGCAGGGCAGAAATGATTCCAGGATCCTCGGGGCTGGGGTGGGCAGGGGGCATCCAACTCTGGGCCTAAAGAGCTTTGCTGGAGGAAGGGGGCAGGCCATCCCCCTGCCCAGGACTTGAAAAAGACCTTGGCTCATTTCCCTTGGGGCCACCCTTACTATTCTGGAGAAACGGAAAGGCCCCGGTCCTGTGGGCTCTGTGGTACAGACCTCCACAAAAACCACGCAGCCGATGATTCGGCATGCCAGGCGCTGGGGCCCCCGGGGACGACACGATCCCCGGTCACCAGAGCTTATGTTCGAGGAGGGAGACAGCAGCAGGAGCTGCTGAAGGGCCAGTCACGAGGGGCTCAAAGACGGTGGAACTGCAGGACGAGGCTGAGCGAGATGAGGACCAAATCAGCTCGGCCTTCGACGCTCCTGATGTTAAGAGGGAGCCGCCGCCGCCGCTGCCTCCTAAGTTCACGTCTCCACCCTTGGCCCCGGCCTCAGGTTTCCTGGGACCGAGACACCGTCCCCAAAATACACAATTCAAACTATGGAACTGGAAGTCCCAAGAATGAAGGCCAGAAGCTCCAAGAATTTCTGCATTGGACATTTTGGTGCCAGGGAACTTGGTGGAGGATGTGGACAATGGTCCAATGGCACAGGACGGGTCGCAATCGGCACCGCTGGAGGGAGTGCCCTGATCAATGAGATCCCAAATCTCCCGGAGCATCTGAATATTGAGTAATTTTAGTGCTGCTGATTCAGGAGCTGCACAAGACCACTGAGCTCCGAGAGGAAAGGCAATCAAGGACCAGAAAGGCGACTTGACCAAGGTCATACAGCAACTAAATAGAAGAGCCAGGATTCAAACCTGGGTCCTTTGGCTCCCAATCTGAGGCTCCGTCTACATGATACCCTAGGCTGTTCCCCCCCACCTCACACACAGGTGTCATTATTCTGCATGCCAAGAGAGGAAAGAGTCACTGAAATGGGTCTGGAGCTGCAGGCAAACACCGCCCTGGGGACGGAGCTCCTGCGTCCTCCCGGCTCCTCTCCCCAGGTACTGCACGCTCAGCCTTCCCGCCCTTCGCAGCCTATTCCCTGGGCTCCTTCCAGAGCAAGTTTGGGTGTGGGGCCATGGGGATACTTCCCGTCTTAGGGGGGAGTCCCAGGCAGAGGGGGCCGTGCCATGAGGGCCAGGAAGAAGGCTCCCCTCAGCGGGTATGGAGTCACACCTGGTACCTGGATGAACTCAGAGCACAGCAACCTCAGCTAAAGGGAAGGGGGGTGGGCAGAGAAGAATTTTTATTTAAAATAGGAGAAAACTTCACCAAAGAAAAAACAAAAACCCAAACCTTCCCCAAATGCCAGAATTTGCTGAAATTAGACATTGAATTTTAGTCCCTTTCAAAGTGGGAAAATGAAAACCAAGCAAAGGACGAACATGCAATGTGGCGAGAGGGAATCCGGGCCACAGTCCAAGTGGGCTCTGAGGCCTGCTCAGGTGGGGAGCCAGGAGCCCAAAGAGGCCAAACAGGCCCCATGGGAGGGGGGCAGAAGGCAGGGAAACATCCCGCTAGTGGGAATCTCATCTTCATCTCCCACCCCCCTCCACGCTCACACTAGGGGGTCCCAGACACTCTGCGGCACCCCCAGAGCAGGCTTGGGAAGGGGCACAGCTGCCTCTCTCCCGTGGCATTAACGTTGGAAGGGATGTGGGCTAGTATGGCTCTTCCTTGTCTGCTTTTTAATTAGGAGCGTTACACGTACACATCGTTTTGAATACACTCATTTCGAAATCGCGGTTTCCACGGCTCGGCTCGCACGGACAAGCTGGACCATTCTCCAAAGGCTTCTGTTCCTCACGCTGGCCGGCCATCCATCCTCTAGCGCGTCGGGAGATGCTGGCGTTCTAGGGCTCCCGCTGCTGGTGCCGCTTAGTGTGGCCGTGCCCGAGTGCAAGTAACCAAGAATAGGCCAATGAGAATGGGTCCAGCCTATCCTGGATTACTTGAACCAGGGCATAGCCTTTTCCAGGAGGACAGCTCCCGTGGCTCTATCAACGACGTGGCTTAACTCCCGGTAAGCTGGGATTTCTGCATTCCACGGCACTCACACCCTCTCGGGGTTTCTACTTCTAAGAGAAAGGCCACAGCTGCACCAGGCCTGGGCTGCACCCCTGCTCTGACCCATGTCCAGTGTGGAGACAGAGCGAGAACGTCACCCCCTGCTAGCACCCCCTCCCCCGGGAAACATCGCCGCTGTCTTCCCTCTTAGAATGTATTCTGCACATGTGAAAGCACTAACTTTCGCCCATCGTGACTGCTTTTTAGGAAACTGAGTCTGGCTCTACTTAGGTGAGTCCAGGCTGTACTGCCCCCTCCCCTCCCCTTCCCTCCCCTCCCCTCCAGTAGAATGAAAGCTTCTAGCTGGTTATCTTTGGTTCTCAGCCCAGCGCTGGTGCATTGTTAGGAGCTCCACATAAGTGAATTTTCCAGTTAACTGAAGGTGTAGGCATTTTGCAAAGCCCTCTCTTTCATCGATTCTTGGTGCCTCAGGAGATGATGAAGATGAATAAGTACCCCAAGCAATGTTCTCCAACTCTGGGGCCTGCCACTAGCTAGGGAGCCTCTGTCCTGCTCCTGGACATGGCCAGCTGGCCATATGAGACGGTGATCATCTCCCTTGTGGCCCCAGCCTCCCTCACAGCGGCCCCTGCTTTTCCGCAATGGGCTAGAAAACCCAAAGACCCAACTGGCTAGGACACATTCCGTGCCCCGCGACGGACATCAGGGCTCTCATGGAACCCAATGGCTCTGTTCTTTCTGGTGCTGAATACTCCCCAGCGCCAGGAGAAGCCTGGCCCCCCCATCCCTAACTGGGGTGGTGCCTGCACATCAGAGCCCTGAACGACAGTCTGGGAATGGGATTCTGGACCTAAGATAATGGAAGGAGAAGTATGAAGGGGGGCGGTCACTGCTTGGCATGAGAAGTCCCACCTTTGCCCAGGACACCCAGGGAGTGCTCCCGCTGAACTGCGCGTAAGAACAGAACCGTCTTCAGAAGAGAGGCAGACAAGCGACGAGCAGCATCTTGGGCGAGTTCTCCCACTGCCAACGTGCTGCGCAATTTTTCTCTGTACACGCACCAGAGTGTTTTGGACGATCTGAATGATCGATGTGCAGCCCACGTTAACAACAAGGACACTATCTTAGCCAACTCAGCACAAAGGCTGGGCATAAGGAGATGCTGCCGCGAACAGTCCCCACCTGCACCTGCCCCTACCGTGAATGCTGGAGCCAATGAGAGCTCCCCTAGGGCATCCCTGCCCAGACCTCGTCCAGTCCCGCCCCACAGACTGCCAGAGAGTGCGCTTACCATCCATCTAACATGGCAGCCCAGCTGGCGCCTGAAGTTTATCTCAGGGATAGAAAGCACCCTTCCTGCCCACCACATGAATGGGTGGAACCAGCAGGGATCGTGGAGGCTGCCATGACTGCCTGATGACCTGCCCTCCTCCAGGTCCCTGGCAGGGCTCCCAAACAGCCCACCAGGTAATACCTCCATTTGGCCTCAGCTGGGCAGCGCACGAGGGGTAGCCAGGCTGGAGAAATGCTGACTGGGGTCTGGTGTCACAGCGTGACAAGCCAGCCATAATCCTGACCACCGCGAGCACAGCCAAAACATGGGCCGGAGGTCCATGGGGACATCAGCTATTGGGGAATGCCTTGCAGTTCTTATCCCATACTGGCAGCTTTGAGATCTATAAAGTCCACGTGAAATGAAAACGGCCTTCCCTGGCGGGGGTGCGGTGTTTGGCTTACAAAAGTCTTTTTCAAAAAGTTGGATTTGGATTCTAAGATAAAAATCAATGATTTTTATTCCCTCTGCATTACTCAAATTTCTCAAAGTTCTATTTAAGGGATAAAGCAAAACTCAAAAAAACAAAGTAGATTTCTGGTGAGTCTGGGGTCATATTTTGCCAGACAACTGAGAAAAGAACAGACAGTGGGGTCTGAGTTGTACCTTGAAGATGAAATCATGCCAACGATTTGGAGGAGGGAGGGCTAGTTCTCCACCTTTAACCAAAGCTCCCAACTTTCTCCTATGGAGTTTTCACCGAGGATACTCTTCACTGGCCACTGTCCATAGCACAAGCTTCTTCCTTTCCCCCTTTCTGTCCAAAACATTCCTCTGATCATTCCACCTCTGGACAGAACCCTACATCTGCCTCCCCGTCCTTTCTGTTCTGAGAGTGGGGGCCCCTGGGGCCCCATGCCCCACTGTACTCTGCACTCTACAAAGTGCATGCATGCCATCTCCCTGGGTATACTCGTGGAAGGCAGGGCCTTCATAGAGCCTGCTTAACACAGGGCCAGGCACACAGACAGCACACGATGAATGCCTGCTGATTGGCCAGTCCTGTCCTGGGCGCCCTCCAAAGATTCATTCCAACATTTCCTGCCTCACTGCAAGTGCTGGCCAGTTACCCAGCCTCTCCCCTTAGTTTCTTCATCTGTAAAATGGAACTGCCAGCTGCCCTCAAAGGGCTCTGGCCAAGTCCAAATAAGAGAATGTGTCTGAGAGCTCAGAAAAGGCAAAGAAGGAACACAGATACAAGTGGAAGGATGGTCATTGCCTAGACAGAGGCTGCCGAGAGGTCTGGAAGCAAACCAGGATGGACAGACGGACGGACGGACACACACACACACACACACACACACACACACACACACACCCATCCTCCGGGAAGTTTCTCACCGGATAGTTTAAAAGACTTGGTTGCATCTGTCTGAAGGCTCCTTACCCCAATGAGACGCCAAGCCCACCATGGGACAGTGGATGGTACCAAGAGCTGCTGCAACTGAAATCAGTCGTTATCACCCGGCCCCAAGCTGGAAGGGCCCTTACCAGGGAGCCGCGATTTCTCCCGGTTATCCCTGGCCTCTGCCTGGCCGCGTATCCTCCCACGCACTGCCCTAGATGGCCCTCGCCAGGGAGCCGTGAGTCTCCTTTTCTCAGCTTCCTCCAGGCCCCCTTTGCACGCATCACTTTCTGTCTTCTACCAGTTAAAATCTACTAGAGCACACACACTTCTCGTTCAGAATTCAGCCTTCAGCTCTCTCTGCTGGTGCCTCTGTAGGGCCGTCTCCCTTCCCTGGAAGGCGCTCCCTCTTTACCTCCTTCTCCTAGGACTGCGAGAGAAGCCACCTCCTACAGCAAGATTTCCTTGACTGTCTGTGCTCCCCCCAGTTGCTAGCGTCCTTGTCTCCCCACTCAAATGACCCAGGTTTGCTGACCTCAGCAGAAACACGACAGGGAGGGCCAGCAGGGTCCCTTCCAATGCTGCCGAGATGGAGACAAACGCTGTTTAATGGGGACTCCAAGAGCAGCTGAGCCCAAGACTTCTCACCAGCCAGCCAGGCAGGAAGGGGCAGGCCCCAGACTGAAAAAGGCGTGCAGAAACAGAAATGGCAATGACCACTCACCACACACAGTCCTAGCCCCACGCTCACCACCGGCGGCTCAGGGAGGCTGAGTCTCTGCCCAAGCCCACTGTCTAGAAGGGGAACTTGAGTTCTCTGACATAATGTCTACTGTGTGCCAGGCACAATGCTGAAGGCTGTACAAATATTACCATTTGATCCTCACAACAACACTGGGTGCCATTATCACACTCATTTTGCAGGTGAGGAAACTGAGGCAAACCGAGGTTCATTGATTTATCCACAATCACACTGCTAGTGTTTGAAGCCAGATTTGAACTCAGGACTTCTGGGCTCCAGACCCAGCACTCTCTCCACTGCACTGCTCAGAGCCTAAAACCTAGCCAGCTCCCAATCATTAAGAAGTCAAAAAGGCCAAAGAAAGGTCTATTAAAAGCAGGTTAAAAAAATGAATCGTGTGACTTTTTTTTTAAAAGGTAGCAAGGGAGATCAGCCCTTGGCCCTATTTAACCTTGCCCAGCTTTCTGAAGCTCAGTGCAGTTGAGCAGTTTGGACCGAGCTGAACGAGGCCCAACAGGCCTCATGGGGCCCTTGCTGGGGGTGAGGGGATGGACAAGGTTTCATGGGTCTAGGTTAGGTTCTGTCCCTTACTGTGGTCCGTACAGCTAAGGAAGCCATTGACCTTTGACCAGATACTGGGCCCTGAAAATAGGAATCCAGGGAGAGGTCATCCGGGGAAGCTCTATAACTCGGGCACGGGGCAGGGGGGCCTCCACAGAGGAGGATCTCTAGATGGGGCAGGAATACTTTCAGACAAGGGCTGAGCTCGTCAGCCTTGCATGGTTACGGAGAGACCCTGACGGGCTGAGAGGGATGCCAAGTGGGCCAGGCGGCTTCTGGGCAGGAAAGGGGGAAGAACTGAGACTCTCAGGCTGTTTTAGCAAACCAGGCTCACTGACTGGAGGCTTGAAGGCACTGAGCTGGGCAGAAGTTGGGGGTTCCTGAGGAAGGGCGAGAACCAGCTGTCTGTGAGCACCTGCGTGGGGGGGGGGTGGCACCCTGTGACTTCCTCCAGGATGGTTCTAACTCTTCAAAGTGCCAGCCTGCTTTTCACAAAGATGTGTAGGACTCTGTCCAGGCCCAAGGAGAGGGCTACGTCTAGGGTCCCCAGGTCAGGGAGGGAAGGAGAGGCAGGCAGCCAGCCATGCATGGGGACCCCAAGCAGATGAAGCCCTTGGCCAGCAGGCCAAAGGCGAGGGCACCACCATGGCTGCTGGGGCGTGGGGGCGGGGCTGAGGCGACAACATTCCATAAATTCTACAGGAAGCCTTGTTAGGGTGACTGCCTAGCAGAGATACTTACTTGATGTATGGTTCCGTCGATTTCAACCGGAACAATAAAATCAGCATTACTGATAGGCTGGAGAGAATGAGAAAAAGATCAGTGTTTCCCAAGGGCCCAGAGCCAGAAACATGTGCACAAGTGGACAGGCTACTGTAGGAGAGAGTGGGTGATTGCCTCAAGAGTTAGGAGAGAGACTCCACCCAATCGGTGGGTTTTTCCCTGAGGTTTTACTCAACCATTTAGCTGATCTTTTTCTTACTCTGAGGGGCAGGGATGTCACCCATTTGCTCACAGGAGATATTTTATCACAAAATTGGACCCAGCTTTAACCCCATAACCTGTGACTCTGCCATGGGGGAAGGCCTTTCCTTTGCTGACCTGGGTCAGAAGGTTCTCTCCTACTTCTGGGCTTTGCCAACTGCCCAGAGAACTGCTCAATGACTGGTTCAATGTTCCGTAGCCAGGACATGTCAGAGGTGACACTTGGCCCCAGATCTTCCTGGCCTCCAAGGATGCCTTTCTCCATTCTTAAAACAGGAGGGTTAAGTCTCCCTGGAGCTGGGGCCTCAGAAACTGGCCATGTCTGTAGCACCCCAAGTCACTCTGCAGAAGTGAGCTGTGGATTGGCTCAGCTCTTTAGAACAGAGGCAGACAAAGACAGAATTCAAGACCTCCTTCTGAGCAGGGAGCTTTCTCCTCCAGCCCTGGGTTGGGGAGCTCTTCCATCTCTGTCCATTAACCCATGCCTAGCTATCTTGGCACCTCTGGCCATGAGGGAACAAGCTAAAAGCATGGATGGCCCCATACAGACCACCAAGTCTAAGGGAAAAACAATGGGTGAATCCATCCAGAGTGATGGAGCTTGGTTCTGAGTGCTTGAGGGACAGGAGAAGCCCAAGACAAGGCCTCTGGCCTCAGGAACCTTGCAGATCTCACCAAGGAGCTGGCAGTAGGGCAGGAAAGCTCAGGGCACACACCCTACCCAGGAGGGCCTCGGGGCATCCCCTCCCCCTGGGGAAAGCCAGACTCTACTTCTCTGACCCCTCTCTCCTCTGTCTCTCCCTCCCGCTTCTCTCCTTCTCTCTCTCCTCCTTCCTCCCTTCTTCTCTCTCTTCCTTTCTCCCTCTCCCTCTCTGCCTCCCCTCCTTTGCATCCCAATCATTTCCTTTCCTGTCCTTTCCTGTTTCTTCATTAAACAGTGTCTTACACAGAGTAGATGCTTAATATGTAAAGGTTTGCTGATTGACTTTCTGAGTGATGAATGCTTTGCTGAATTCCATGGAGGCTGGGCTGCCTAAGATGCTGTGGGCATAAGGGTGAAGGGCCTTTGTACAGTGTAAAAGGTAGACATGTTCACAAATAACCCCATTCTAGCTAGGACAATTTCCAAGCTGGTGATTCTGTGCTCTCAGACAAAGGAGATTGGGTTGGTGGGGGTGAGGGGACAAGGAGTGTTTGTGTTTGAAGATAAATGGGGGCTCTCCAGTCTTTGGAGGCCCAGTCACTGGGGGAGCCCCTCTGCATGGGGAGCAGCCCAGGGCAGGAGGGGGAGTGGTCTGGCACCATCAGCCTGGTCTGCCCTTTCTGGCTGTGCACCAGGGCTCATCTCACTAGGGATGGCCTGGGGCCCATCAGCCTCTGGGCATCTGGAGATGTTAACGATGGGGAGGGAGGGGGGGTTCCAACTCGGACCCTCTGCCATTCCTACATGGATAGTCACCGTGATGGCTCCAACCAGATCCTAACACTCATCCAGCTTGGGAAATCCCCCCGGCCCACTAGGACTCAGCACTGTGAGTGGCCACCCCACCAGGACTGGAACACCATCAAGATGTCACTGAACACCAGCAACTGTGTCCGAGCTGGTTCTTCTCAGCCTGGAGGAGGAAGCTCTGATGCCTCAGACAGGCGGGGGTGGTCAGCCCCGAGCCTCAGGAGTGAGAAACACAATCCCCTCACCCAACCCCCAAAATGGAAATGCAACAAGATCTTTTTCATCATTTGAGCACCGTATTGTACCACAGAATAAAGATTCATGGCTAAAAAATAAGAAGGAAAACCCAAGCTTGCCCAGACCCAAGGCCCTTCCCCAGGGAGGCAGCTTGGGAAGGGCATCTTTGAGGAGAGGCCTGTGTGAGGCCCTGGACTCAGGGTCTCGGGGATGCTGGCCGGTTCTGAGAAGCAGCCCTACACACTGAGATTGTGGGAAGAAAGGAAAAAGGGACGGCCCCTCGGGCAGAGATGCCTCAGCAGGATCCGGCCCCTCTGGCTGGTTGTTCCTCCAAACTGCAGTCAATGAAGGGGCCAGTGTGGGGGTCAGGTAATTTCTGCCCAGCTTTTCCAGGACAGCTCAGGAAAGGCCAGCATCTCCCCACCTGCTGCTCTGATGGTGACTGGTCTGTGGGCAGCAGTAACACCTCCCTGCGGGGTCTAGGGAGAAAGGCTTCCAATGCCACCTGGGGCCAAGTTGGGGCCAGACTGTCGTTCTCACATCCCCATGGCTTGAGAAATCTGCCTAGCATGGGAAATAGTAACTACGAGGTGCAGAAAATTGGGAATGGGTCCCTTTTCCTCTGTGCACTAGGCACAAAGAGGCCTTTGTTCCGCTAGAAGTAGGCCCAAGGAAAATCCCTGTAGAAGGCCTCAGTCTTCTTTAAGATGACCGCTACCCAGCTTTTAAGACAACAGGATGGACTAGCTCTAACCTCTGCCTCTCGTGAGTCCGATGGCCCTGGAGCCCATCTCTCAGGCTGGCTGCCAGTGAAGCCATGGAGGAATGGGGTAAGCAGCAATGAATGATTCCTGGGCAGGGGAAGATGGAGAATTTCCATTTACAGAAATCACACGAGGCCACCAGGGCTGAGAGCAGGGCCTCCTCCTGCCTTCCTTCTCCCCAGTCTCTTCATCGTGGATTGTGAAACCTTCTGACACGCGCCTCTTGCCCATCTCTCCTCCCCACTTTAACCTCCTCATTCTGGTATCCAAGGCATGGAGACCTAGGCCTTTCCTCAGCTTGTCCACCACTACCTCCTCATGGGGGGCCACAGGTAGGGTGCCCACGAGCGGCTGGGCCGGGCCTTCATGGTGCTCGTGAGCACAGCTCAGGCTGGCTCAGGGTGAGGACAAGGCCTGCACCACTGACTCCTCAGAGAAAAGAGATTAAACAAACCAAATAGTCATGAAAAGACACTTCTAAACTGGGAAATGTCTATGAATTATGGGCCGTCATCCTCAGAGCTGGACGACCTCCCTAGAGCAGACTGAGAAATTCCTAGGGCAGAAGATTCCCAACCCCCCACCCCAGGGCACAGTTAATCTCCCAGGCCAGCCCAACCACGGCCATCCAGAAGCTCCAAGGATGATGATCCAGGGGCGAAAAAGTCAGGACTCTACAGAGAATCCTGTTTTCTGAAGCCAGAAGCAGTTGGCCTGTCACCGTCTAGTTCCCAGCCAGCCAGGTAATATTTACCTGACAGTGAGCTTCCCCTGAGTTAAAAGTCCCCGGGTAGGGCGGGGGAGCCCCCCACAAGCCCAAGAGCACAGATCTCTTGGCTTTCCCATTTACCTTAAATGAGCTGTGCACCAAGGTCTCATCAAGGTCAATGACCATGCATTTCTTGCCGTAGTCTGGTACCTTCAGTTCTGGAAGGAGGTATTTAGCTGATGGCTAAAGAAAGAGAAACACCTAACAGTGAAATAGCCCACCAACATTTCACCCAAAGCAAGTCCACGTGTGCCCCCCTGCCACCGTTCTGGGGAGCCCCGTGGAAAGTGATGGTCATTCAGCAGGACTCAATGCCACCGAGTGTCCTCTGGCCAACAGAGCCGATGTCCGTACACAGAACAAACGGCGGCCCTTTGCTGCCTGGGGTCACCAGAGACAGACAGACAAACACCTGCAAAGGGAGTGCTCAAGGGTCTGGAGAACCTCATGAAAGCCAATCAGGAATGGCCAGGCCTCCTTTCCGTGTGCACCTGTAACAGCAAGCTCAGCCTCTCTGCGCTGCTCAAATGATCTGCTGTCTAAGCCTGCAGTTTCCAGAAGGCCCTGGCTCCATGAGCGGGGACAGTCAACCAGAGGGGCCGGAGGGAGCTTCCAGACTGTCAGGCCAGATGGCTGGGGAGGAGGACGGGGCCAGGGACACCCTGGAGACCCTGGGCACTCTGAGAGCTGTGTGACTTCACCCCAAGCCTCGGTTTCTTCATCTTAAAATGGGGGTGAAAATGCTTGTCCCATCCTTCTCCCAGGGTTGCCACAAGGCCAGAGTTTGTGTTGACCACCAATGGTTGTAGAAAGGCAAGTTATTCTTCCTATCATTATTATTAGGTTTGAGCGAAGGAAAAAGAACACTAGTTGTGGAGAGGGAAGATGTGGGCTCAAATACTGAGTCTGGTAAGAACCACTCTGGGCCAGTCAATTCATCTCTCTGGGCGTCAGTTTCCCCATCTATAAAATGAAGGGGTTGAGCAAATTCCCTAGGGTTTCTCATGACTTGCCGATGGGGAACGTTCAGTGCTGCCCTATGTTGCCCAACGTCCAATCCCATCTTAGCCCGAAGGCCTTGTTCGGTTTGCTGTTATCCCTGTTTGATTTACCAGGGAAACTATAAAGGAAGGAAATGAAAGGGCGCTGGCTGCTCCTTTAGCTCAGACTGGACCTTGGCCAGGCGGCCCAAGCAGTGACCCAGAGGGCGGCCCATTCAGGCCCAACGTCTGGAAACGCTTCCTGAGGATGACAAGGGCCCCCTCCCAAGGCGAGGTCAGGCAGAGGCTGGTCACTGGTGGGGATTCCATCCACTCTGGGGCAGGAGCAGAGACACCCTGCGGGAGGCACTCCCTGTCTGAGCCCTGCGGACCGCCCCCAGAGACCAGCATGAGGCATATTTTACAATTACTCCACAGGAATAATAATAAGATGACATGAGGTAGTTTGAGAGCAGGGGAGAGGATCTGTGGACAGATTTTTGGGGGCACGGAAGGCACTCAGCAGGCTCCCGGAGGAGGGCCTGCCTGTGGCTGTGGCGTCTCTGAAGCCTTTGACCTCACCTAAGCAATGTATGGGGTCAGGACCCATCTGAAGGCTGCCCGTGCAGGTGCCGGATTTGTTCTCACTGTGGTGAGCCCTAAGGACTTCTCAGCTCCTTGCCAGAGGCCCCTTCATGCCATGGAACCACCGTCTAAGGGGAGACAGATGCACACGAACTGTGCAGCAAAGGCTCTCGGCTCTAATTGTAGCGTGGCTGACAAAGAAGGCGGCCATGGCCCTCAGAATTCTATCAACTTTGCATTTAGAGGGAAGGGAAAAGCAGGCAAGTCAATCCCACCTCCCCTACAGCTTCATTAAGCCTCTAAATGTTTGCGCGCTTAGGGCTTTGTCTGACTGGAGGATGGCGTCTCTTTAGCCTGAAGTGATTCATTGGAATCCTCATGTACCTTACGAGTCCTCGGAACATGGGAGGACGTCATGGGAATCCTGTCGTGGCAGATTCCCAGGGCGTCAGGGGAGAGCCAGGCCAGTGCCACGCTCAGAGAGTTACCAAGAGCGGCTGCACCCCGTCAGTGTACAAGTCAGCGTTCAGATCTCCGAGGCTGCCCCCAGAAGACCGTGGACCGTGGGCTGTTGAGGCCTGGCCCAGAGGGGGACGAAGGTCCCTTGGGTCCTACAGGGGAGATGTGGGGAGGTGAGGACACCAGGAGAACCCAGTCACAGCCAGAGGGGATCTCAAGGGCCTTGGAGCCCAGCTCCCGAAGGCCAGGAAGTGAACAGACTCGCCCAAGGTCACACGGCCCATCATGCTACAGATGAGGAAACTGAGGCCAAGAAAGGTGGTGACACACCCCGTGTCACACAGCTAGTGAGCACAGGCGGCGAGGGGACTTAGATCCAGGTCATCTTCCTAACTCCAAGACCAGAGACATGCCCTTTCTGCCACGCTGTCCTAACGCTCTCAGCACTCAAGATGGCAAACGACCAACTGGGCTTTCCAAAAACTGTCCACTGAGCCGAGAGCGTGACAAGGACGATCACCTCAGTGACAACAGAGGCGGCCTGGCCTGCTGCCCGGGGAACAGAGATAGGGTGAGCCGAGTTCAATTCCTGACACATCCTGGCTGAGTGACTTAACCTCTCTGGGCTCTAAGAAAGTCTCTGAGCAGCAGAGGAACTGTGACCCGCCCCGGCAGAGGGAGCCCCCCCCGGGAGTTCCCCCCCCATGCTGGTCCCTGTCCCTGGTAAAGAGGATGATGAGGAGTTGGATGAGAGCTCCCATGTCTGTATGGAGCCTGAGGTTTGCCAAAGGACGTGACAAGGATGGACCACACCTGGGGCCGATGGGGCTGACCCCGCTGGCGGCCACTCACCCACCCTGGCCATGGCATGACAATAAGTGCACATTGCCAGGTCTCCTCATGGGCTGCTAACAGCCCTGGGAGTCTGATCTCCTCAGGGTCCTCGTCCCCACTTTACAGCAGAGGACACGACGTGCCTATGCCTGGAGCCCAGGGCCCCCTGACCTCACACTGGCCACAGCATTGGTGGATGCGGGGGAGGGGGGGTGGGCAGAGGCCGCCTGGGACAGAGCGTGGTTAAAGGGCCCCTGCAGGGCACTGGAACCTTGGGGACACACCCTCTAGGGGAGCCCGGCAGCACTGGCCTGTCTCGTGAGCGTCCCCTCCTTATTGTCGTCTCGAGGGCCGCCCTCAGAGCTAAGAGGGCACGGCCTGGACTGTACAGGCATTTCTGGACGTGGAGGCCGAGGCTGGAGCTGAAGCCAAGGTGAGGCAGGCGGCCCCTCGGGCCTGAGGCCCGGCTTTGAGTCCTGAACTGGCTGTGCTTCCTGTGCCTGTTTAAAGCAACAGTTCCATGTCACAGCTCAGCCAGTGAGCCGTCTGTCTAGGAGCGGAATCTCGGCAGGAACCCAGACTAGTGTGCCCAGAGACGGGAGGGAGATACGTACACTCGGTATGGGGATGACGTGCCTCTGGTCGCCCTGCGGAGAGAACAAACAAGATGGCGGTCACTCCAGAGGCCAGCTGGAGGGTGCGAGTAGAAAACAGAAATCAAAGCGCTAACAATCTGATAAAAACGTGACGACCTCGACATTCTCTCAGCTGATGGGGATGAATGAATAATGGCAGACGTAAAGAGAAGCTGAGTGGTAACCCACGGTGGGGGCGGGGATCTCACAGTGGTGTCACCAGGAGCCACTCACTGGCCTTTTCTCGGTGTTAGGGTGTTAGCCCCCTAACAAGGAGAGCTGAATGGAGATGGCAAGGGCTGCCTTGGGAGACAGCGAGGCCCCCGGCACTGGACAGCCATGCAGGGGGATGGATGAACAGACAGCACCGCTCAGCTCCTGCCTACCTTGGGCCGCTCAGTTTAGGGAGGGAGGATACACTGTCCTCAAGCCGGACTTTGGAAAGTGGTCCCCTTTACTCCCACCAATGTCCCTGGCCTGGTCCTCAGCAGTGCCAGCCTACCGGAGGCTCTGAGGGCCTCAGGAAGATGCTTAGAAATGCCATGCTGAGCCAGTTTAAGAGCCCACACCCACACACCCAGGCTGGTTCCCTGCCCTGGTGCCTGGCATCCCGCTGACGCCCCCTCAGGACGCAGGAGCCCTGAGCCCTGCTCCCTGCACCAATGCCAAGGGACCCTTCCCCACCTGGCTCACAGTGTGGCCTCCTCTGGTGGGCCAATCTCCTGCCAAGGGGATAAACCTTTCCACAGGCTGCTAGCCAGGGCCTTGGGGCTGCTAGGTTTGAACTTAGAAACTCGTGGAAAAGCAAAGCAATCCATAAGCGCATCACCCTGCACTCTTCACGGACTGTTCTGGGGGCGCCCGAGCCCTGAAGAGCCTTTGGATTGGCTCAGTGCATGGCGCCGGATCACGGGGAAAACAGCACCTCCTCCAATCCCCAGCAGCCCCATGCCTTGGCCCCACACGTCCAGAAGAGGCTGAGCTCAGTCCAGCTGTAGCCTTAGAAACTAACAGCAAGTTTTTCCTGCAAAAATTGCAGACGTGTACAAATTTAGAGTTGGAAGACCCCTCAGAGGCCCCTGGTACAACCTTCTCCTTTTACAGAGGAGGAGGCTGCAGCTCAGAGAGGGGTTAGCCGACCTGTCTGAGGTCCCACTGTGAGTGGGAGGTAGGGCCAGCTCCAGAACCCAGGACTCCTGGGCCCTGGAGTTCATTGTCCCACGTCATAGTGTATAATGCCCTAACACCCCGTCTGGGCCTGGGCCTGGGTACACACAAGAACTCCAAAGGCTGGGGCACCAGTGAGCGAGTTTGAGGATGTGCTGAGGATCTGGAAGGCCGGGCAGCTGCCCTTCTACAGAGCAGAGGAAGCCGAGATGCTTCTGAGGGCCGATTTGGGACTTCCTCAGCATCGTGCCCTGTGCCTCCCAAATGGCAACACCCCACGGGTGGCCGTGGCGAGAGCCATGAGCCAGGGCCTTCCAGGGCCTCTCCGTTTAAAGAAATGAGCCCCAAATGCCTTTATTCATGCAGAAGGCCCTGGGGCCATGGCTGCCCCAACTCATGACATCTCTGGCGCAGGGAGCACATGCACAATGCCTCTGCCCGCACACCACGAAGTCTGCATATCACTTAGAGACCCTGCAGGCCAGCAGGGCCCTGGCTGACAGAGCTGGCGGGCAAGCGGAGGCAGCTCTGGCCCCTGGAGTACGTCAGACCACGGGAGCCTGTTGGTTCCAGGGGGCAGGGTCCCAAGCCCCCAGCTTCCATTTGGGGGCTGCGCTCCATTCTCCCTTCCCAGCTGAGGTCTCTTATTAACAGACTCAGGGTGTATTTAAACAGCCACAAAGGCGTTCACTGGCCTCCCTCCTCTCACACCACCCCCTCTGAAAAGGGCTTTTGTTTCCTCTTTCCTGAAAAAAATGCTCTAGGTAGGCTGGCTGTGCAGTGCAGGAAGAGGGGAAGGCCAGGGTTTGAGCCCTATCTCTGTCACGCCCTGATCTGGTGACCACAGGTCACACCTCAAGGTGCTCCTTAAGAAGGATGCTGCTGAGCATGTGCAGATCACCACTGGGGGAGGGAGTTTCCCACGTGAATAAAATCACAAATTGCAAAGAAAAAAGGAAAAGGGAGCACTCTCTTATACTCTGTCCATTTACAATCAGATCAAGGCACAGCTTCACAAGCCTCGGGCAGAACAGTGCCCCATTGGGACTTAGACTGAGAATTCCTTGGATTTGATTTCCAGCGGGAGGGCTGCCTCTAGCACCGATTAAGCCTTCAAGGTCTGGGTTGGCATGGTCACCAGCACTGGCTCTTCAGATCATTCCGCTCCCCTAGGGAGCCTGGGCGGGTAGGGGGTGGCTGAAGCACAGGGTCAGGCTCCGGCCCTGCTCACTCACATTTAGGGAACCACCATTTCATCGAGTTGCAGCTTCTGAGCCGATAAACCAGGATGAGCATCAGAGGGCTGGGTCCTTCTGCCTTGGGATGCTCGACGGGGCAGAACCCAGCAATGCGCTAGTGCGTGGCATCCAAGCTGATCCCTCACTGATCCCAATGGCCATTCTGATGGATGGATGGATGGATGCTGTGACTCACTAGGACCTGACTTGGGCTGGCAAGTACAGCCCTTGCTATGGCTGTGCCTCAGCCCAAGCCCCAGCAACAGGGCCCCAGAAACTGGATCACACAGCCTCTGAGCGGGACCACCCCCAAGGCCATTAAAGGCCTTGTCACTGAATGTTGGAATCTGTGTGCCAGGCAGCACCTTGGGAATCATTCCCATTTTATAGATGAGGTCACTGAGATTCCCAGAGGCCAGGTTTTTGCCACTTTCCATATCCTCTGTGCTCAGCACAGTGCCTGACATGCGATCAGTGCTTAATAAATGCTGGGTGACTAACTGATTCAAGGGACCTGTCTGAGGGTACACAGGGAGTAAAATGGTGGACCAAGGTTCCTTCCTACGCTAGCCCCTGGCCCCCCTAGTCCTAGAGGACGCTGACCAGAGCTGTTGCTGCAAATGGAGCAAGGCCAGTGCCCTGGCCAAGGCCCACCGATTACAAGAGCCCAGGCAGCTGACGGCTCCTGGGAGCGGCCAGGTCCAGTCACTCTGGGTCAGTGCTTGCTGAATGACTTCAAACGTCACAAGGCTACAGCCAGGCTTCCTGAGGAGCTGAGGTTCCCGCCCCCCCCCCCCACCAGAGCTCTCCACGGCAGCGTGGCCATCCTCGGCCCGAGCCTGACCACGTCCTAGCCAGCTGCCCAGGGTCTGACCATTACGAAGTACACGTTCCTCCACTTGGCATCCAAAGCTCTTCAAGCCCTGATTCCAAACTTCTTTGTACTAATTCCCCTTCACCATCCTACCCTCCGGCTCCACAATCCTCCTCCGGCTGCCCTGCTGCAGTCCGGAACAGGGGTTCTCTGAGTCCTCGGCTTCCAGGCAGGCTCCGGGACGTGCCTCCGGGATGCTTCTCTGGCCCTCCTACCTATGTGGGTTTATCCGTACTTTTTATTTTGAAGGAGAACAAGATAAGGAGGCCCAAAGAAGGCCCTTCCCTCTATCTATGAAGCAGATGGAAAAGATTCTTTACAGAACAAAACCTCCATTCTGCGCCCTCAACAAATCAAAAGATCGCTGCCCATCCTGTGTGCCTGGCATCCTCATGGCTCCTCAGGCCCAGTATGCCCTCCCTGCACCCGCCGGGTGTTCTCCTCCTCTCCTGGCTTTGGCCTTCCACAGTCTCTCTCATTGCTCTGGCCACTCTGGTCTTCCAAAGCTCATTCTCTCTATGGCGTTGCTATCGTTGTATAAAGGGATTCTGCTCACTCCCCTCTGAGTCACTTGGCTCTACTCGGGATTTTCAGAAATCCTCTCTTTCGGCCATTTGTGACGGCACAGTAAGCCTCCGTCCCACTCACACGCACCAGGATGAGCCGCTCTCCAGGAGTCTGAGGGCCAGATTCTAGGTTTTTTTTCTCCCCCTCCTTCTAACAGTCCCCCAGGATCAGAGTGATGATTTTGCTCATGAGTATTCCTGGCTTGTGTTCTCCTCCCTCTTAACACACCTTCCTTCTGACCCCCCACCCCGTCCCCCTTACCCTGTAACAGGTTCATCTGTTGCCCTTCAGACCCCTTCTTCCTCAAGCACCTCAATTAGAAGAAAGGATGAGCTTCACCTTTGCCCACTTTTCTGCACAGGTCTATCTCTTTTCCCTCCCCTCACTTTCCCCTCTGAAAACACACAGAACAGAACTCGCCCTCCCCCACCCCCTTGTTTTTCTTATCTAACTTCCTCAATATCTTTTCAAAGGTTTTAGAGGACACTGGTTCTCCTCCGTTAGAATGTTAGCACATCATCAGAGGGCCCTTGGAAATGCTCAGTTAGATTTGCTCTTCTAGGTTTCTCTTGACTCTTGCCTTTGTATTTCACAACTTTTCTTGGCTAGTCTTTTCATCAGAAATACTTGGAGCCCTCTGCTCTATCCAAGGTGCAGGCCAGGTGGCTCGTCATGTAGCAACACCAGCTGACGCCTGGCCCGGCCCAGTGGGCCCCCAGGACACGGGTGACTCGTGAATCCTCCGACTGGCCATCCTGGCACATCTTTCCAATGCTTGCCTGCTGCCCCGCTGACTCTTGGCCAGCTGCCGCCTCTCTTTCTTGCTCTGTGATGAGCTCAGCTTCTTTTCTGGCCACCTGCACCCTTGGGGTAGCAGGCCCTTTCTGCCTCTTCTTCCCCACACGTCACACACGGGGATTGGAGGCAGTCTGCTTACACTTCCCATGGGCCTCTCCTGTTCTGTGCGGTCTTTATCATTTGGACTTTCCCCAGACTGTGATGCTCGATGATTCGCAGCCACATGGCCGTCCTACCAGGAGAATACCAGCGCTAAGACTTGGGGAAAGTGGCAGTTTGCAGTCCAGGAGAGTGTGTACAATTTCCCAAGCGCAATGGAGTTAGATCCTGCTTAGTTCTTGGGCCCAGGTCATTCAAACAGCCACAGCGATGGAAGAGGAGGCGTACCCAGCACACGCACAGCACACATCTTTCATCCATGTTGTTTTTCCATCATGGATGGTTTAGAACAATCTGTTTCCAATTGCTGGAAACGTCAGTGAAGAGGTGTCATGGCATGCTGAGCTCTGTGCAGCTCATTAGTACACTGATAGCTATGATTAAGGGCGTCTGGAGAACGCTCACCCGTTGGGAAGGCTTCCTTGTCTTTAGACTTCAGCAAAGACAGAATTATGACTGAGGGAAGGGAGTTTTTTAAACCTCTTGGTGGGATTCCACTAACATGAGTCTACATCAGTGCTCGTCTCCCTAAACCTCTCCTTGTCAGCATCAATTCCCTCCCTCCTGGTGAATAAATCCCTCGATCTGTGGAGAGCCAGGGAAGCCTCCCTCTGAAGACTCAGCTGCCCCCACAATCACAGCGCGGGCACCGGAAAGGAAAGCACTGGCACCCTCGGGATGATTCTCATCTGCAGCTGCTCCCCTCTGGCTGCCGAGGGCTCGGGGTGCCACGCTCTCGATCTGACCTGACGGCAGGTAGTGGCTTCCTTCTGGAAAACCTCCCGGGTCAGAAGGAAGGCAGTGGGGGAGCCGGCACTGACAAGCAGCCCCACCTCAAATAAAGGCCTGGAACTAGAATCACTTAGGAGAAGACAGCCATCCCTCAAACCCTCCCTCATTCAGTCTGCTCGGGGATCTCCCCAGAGGTCTTAGCTGAGCAGAGACCCACGCACATGAGTGCCAACGAAGGCCACAAAACAAGTGATGGGGCCCAGCCTGCCATTTCGGTGGGGAGGTGACGTCCCACTTCCTGTGGGGACCAGCTTCTGCAGGTGATCTTGCCAACTCCACAATCCTCTGAGTTTCCAAGAAACCAGAGGAATGGAAAATTACTGCAAATGATCCAATTCTAAGGTAAGGAAGAAGCAGCAGCTGCAGCAGTAAAACAAGCCACTCCTGCCTACACTCTCTCCTCAGCCAAGAAGACGGCTCGCACGGCTGGCCGCCTGCAGTCGATTCCGAATTCGGGAATCCACCGAGCCCCCGGGGCCCGGGGCCAGGCCTCGCTCCAGGCGAGAGGCATCTCGGCCTCTGAGCTCCCGTGAGGAGAGGAGACGGAGAGGACTGACCTTCTGAAGCCCCCCGTTCTCCTCCACCGCCGGGGGCGGCGCGCCCGTGCTGCGGATGGCCGTGGGGTCCGCATCGTAGCCGCGAAAGCAGCAGAACAACGAGCTGAAGATGCTCCGGCTCCTCTGCTTCTTCAGGCTGAAGCTGCTCTGGGACGCTGCAGGAGGAGAGAGAGCACAGAGCCCTGAGAAAGGGAGCTGTGACAGAGGAGGGCGGTGGGGACCCCCTCGGGCTATCAATGTAGGAGTCCATTTGGGATACCCCCATCCCGCCTCCACCAGTCCCCAAACTGAACACTCCCTTGGAACAAAGAAAAACCAGTTAAACCAAAACCAATCGGTATGGCAGCATTCGCGTTGGGCAATGCATGACCTATTCTGCCCCCACCATCCACCACCCCTCTGCTGGGAAGACAGAAGTTATCCCCTTGTCTGTTTCCAGGGACCAGAATTATTAGAAAATTCAGCATTTAGTATAGACCAAGTACGGGGCTGAGTGTTGGGAATAGAAAGGCCAAAAACAAAGGCCCTGCCCTCAAGAAGCTCCCGTTCTAATGGAGGACAAAACCTACATCTGAACGGGCACAACGTCAGGGGAAGGCCCAAGCAGGAGGGCCAACCGCAAATGCGCTCCCTCCTGAGAAAGCGGGGCTTGGGCCAAGCCTTGAATAAGGCCAGGGACGCAGAGAGGCAGCCCCAAGGAGGGAGACCGAAAAGGCAGGTGTAAACAAGGAACGATAACAGATCGGTCAGACTGGTGATCCCTGCAGAGTCCTCAGAACGTCTCTTTTTTTGTTTTGTTTTGTGAGGCAATTGGGGGTAAGTTACTTGCCCAGGGTCACACAGCTAGTGAGTGTTATGTGTATGAGGCCAGATTTGAACTCAGGTCCTCCTGACTCCAGGGCCCGTGCTCTATCCACTTGTTTTTAGCGATTTATCAGTTGGATTCATCACTATTGTGCAAGGGAATATAGCTCAGAAAGCAGAGAAAACACTGAACCCCTCAATACCCAGCTGCCCCTCTCAGAACATTTCTAATGCATCAAGTAAAATACAATGGGTAGCAAAGCCAACAATTCTACAGGAATACACTTAGAAAAACATTCTGAAAAGGCCACCAAGCTCCCAGAGCCCAGGTGAGTGAGTGAGGTCTACGCCTTGCATACCAAGAATACCACACCTGGCCCAATGTGTGAAGGAGACTGCAAAGGGTGGAAGGGGTCAGGCCAGGAGGGGATTCAAATGCCCAAGGGAAACGCTGCTCTTGGATCCTGGAGGGACAGAGCTACAGGGGTGAGCTGAGCAGGGGAGGGAGTGGCCAGGGTCAAACATCCACGGGAAGACAGACTTGTGTGGGAAGGCTGAGGACAGACAAGAAAGCTTGGAAGAGACGCTATGGGGAGTGGGGTACGGCATTGGGCAGCACTAGAATTGCCTTGCTGTGGTGAGGGTCCAGGTGCAATGAGATGGCCTAAGTCTGCTGATCCGGCCAACAGCAAGCCGAAGGATAGTGTAGAATGGAGCCCATTCGCAAGGGGCTCAAGCCTGGGAGCGTCAGAGCCCAATAATTCTAATTCCAGGGTCTGCCTGGGCTCCCCAGACACTGTGCCTCACCCTTGTCCTCTAATCAGAGATCCTTTTGGTCCACCAAAGTGAATCAAATATGGCGCTCCTTGTGGAGCATTTCTAAATGAAGAGCACCGTGAGACTGGATGTTCACCGCTAAAACTACCAGACAAAACAAGCAAAGAGAAGAAGCCGCCCCACAAAGGTTCTCATCTCCCGCAGCCTGACTTGGGTGTGCGTGTGCATCTGGAAAACAGGACACTCCAGGGCCACTCAGGAGCCAGAGGCTGAATCAGGAGCACTCAGCACTCCTGCTTTCTCTCAACCTGACGTTACGAAGTGCGTGTCACCAAATAAAATCGAGACTCCGTGACTGGGCTTACACCCCGAGGAAGTCAGTGACAAGAAGAAAGTCCTCACATTTGGAGCAGCGCTTTTTGTGACAGCCAAGTAGTGGACACAGAGGAGAGGCCCATCAAACACTGTTTGATCATCTCAGTCGTTCGCAACTCTCCGCGACCACTTTTGGGGTTTTCCTGGCAAAGATACTGGAGTGATTTGCCGTTTCCTTCTCCAGTTCATTTTACAGATGAAGGAACGGAGTCAAAAACAGGGGTAAGTGACTTGTCCAGGGTCACACAGTAAGTGTCTAAGGCCAGATTTGAACTCAGAAATAGAAGTCTTCCTGACTTTAGGCCTGGCTCTCTGTGCACTATGGCACCCCCCAGCTGCTCTTTAAAATATTCTTTGTCATATTGGATGGCTCTCTGTGGGATACTATGATGATGTAAGAAACAGAAAATATCAATAAAAACTTTTTTTCAAAAATCATTGTAGACAATAATTACCAACAGGCATTGATTAAGCACCTACTGTATGCCAAGCACTGAGGATACCAAGACAAACAAGAGATGCCTTGCCCTCAAGGAGCTTACAATCTAAAGATGAGACAATAAAGACGTGCAAGGAGATGATACAAATATAGACCGACACACAGAATTAAAAAGGCACCTTCATATGACACATCCTTTTCTAAATTTAAAAATGATAAGCTGAGCTATCATCAACAAACGTCCATCATCCCAATAAAAGCCATTTAGGAGCCACTAGCCCCCATGCCCGTGGAGACCAAGCACAGACTCTGCCGTCTGCTTCTGTTTCCTTTGGGGCATCCCGAGACGTCGCTTTCATTATGACCACTCACACAGCTGTCGTCCACACGCATCCTGCCATTCTGAATCGCCATCGTTTGTCAGCGTCTTTCCCACAATTCACTGAATTCTCCCCATTCGCCAGCCCAGCCGACAGTATGCCCTTATCATCATCCCCGGTTTTCCATCATTCCCCATTTGCTGGATACATAGGCTGTTTCCAGGCCTTTTCTAGGAACACATCTGTCCCAGGGCCCACGGATGTCACATGTGAAGGCTACTATGAACGAGAAGGGTTGGGGATCCTTTGGCCCTGGAGGGTAGCAGTGAAGCATATTAATGATTAGGAAAATTGAGGAGTGGGGTGTGTGTGGGGGGGTGTGCGTACAAGTACCCAGGCAAGTGGAATGTGAGCAGGCATTACGTACCTGAAAAGCCAGCCTGGGGCACAGACCAGGTGTCTCAGGGCACCGAGATTCAAAAGGCTTCAAGAGCCAAAGAGGAAAAGCACCCTCAAAGTTCTGGGCCACCCATCCCCCCACTGGGTGGGCGCGCCGGGAGCCTTGGAGGTGGCAACCCCACATTCTCACTGTCCCACCTTGAAAAATCCAAAATGCCGCGAAAGTCACCAATGCCCAACACAAGTTCAGTGTCTGGGAGGTTCAATAGAAGGGGTGTGCTTTGTCTCAAAGGATCATCTTTTCCAGGGCAGGCTTGTTCCAAGTTTCTCAGGAGACCACGTGGATGTGTGTGTACCCACCACACACATATGTCTCATGTATCTACATAGTTATACACATAAGGATACATGTAACATACAGATACATATGTATACTATATCTACACATAATACATATAATTATACACATAGAGAACTAGAGATCAAAATATCTATGCACATGTAATAATACACATACTTGTGTCCTACACAGCTCCACCTCGATACATATAAAACACACACCTACAAACACTGTGTACACACATGTAACACAAACACGTGTGTCCTAGAGATAGAAACATCTATACACATAACACACACACGCTTGGGTACTACATGTCTATGCACATATGCAGACACACAAATATATGTACTCTGCCTACCTAGCCTTGCCCACCTTAGGGAGTCCTATCACTAAATGCTGCTGCTGCTATTGCCATCATCGCTCCCGTCACCACCTTTGGGGCCCAAGGCACGGGCCGCCAAGCGATCAATAGCGCCATTTCTGGACGTGGCTGGAATCTGGAGGGCACGTGCCCATCCCCACAAACTGCCCTCGTGTGATCTGGACCAGACACCAGAGTTGGCAAAGCCTGCCGTTTGGTCTCTGGCTCTGCTCCTGGGAGGGTTCCGCACATTCTGGGGGCTCAGCAAAACATGGGGTCAAGCATGACACGGGACACGTCACCTATACAAGTTCACAGTACTAAGAAAAGTCACAAAATCTGAATGCAGGAGAGAACGCCCAGGGCTTCGAAGCTTAGCGCCCCCAACTTTTCCTTCCCCCATGCAAATGAGCCCCAAAATTAGCTCTAAGGACAAAACAGCCCCAGCCACCGTCTTCTCAAGATCCACATCCCCAGACACTCCCTGACGAGCACCAGGGCAGAAGCTTGGCGGGGCTCAGGTAAGCCTCTCTGCCCAGCCCTGCTCCAGGGTGTCTCCTGGGAGAGCCCCTTCCCAAATGCAGGCGGCCTGCCTGGCACAGTGAGGGAAGAAGAGGTTCCCAAGACCGCCGGAGGCCGCCTGGAGGAGTGGCAGTTGCTACATTACCTGCCGCAAAGCCAGGAAAACCTGGGTTCGAACCCTGCCCCTGACACTTACCAGTCATGTGACTGGACAAGTCACTCACTCTGGTGAGCCTCAATTTGCCCGTCTGTAAAACAGGAACAGTAATTCCCTGTTGTGCCTAGACCGCACGGGCTTCGTGGGAGCCTCTACGCAAGCCTCCCCCTGCGGCACACGTGCAACTCTTTATCCTTCCCATCATGCTCTGCCAGACTGGGCAGGGGCCAATGCTTCCAAAGGGTTCGAGTTCCCAAGTGAACACTGAGCATTTCCAAGCCGCAATGCCGCCATTCTCCCACAGCCCAGATTCTTCCCTGGCACCCTTTTTGCTCTATTGGTTTAAACACTGCCACCAGAAATCAAATGCATTTCTTCCCAGGCCAGATTAAAGTCCCCAAAGAGCTGGCAATCCCAGCGTGAAGCTACCATCCCAGAACTCCCGAGAGGGTCTGAAAAGGAGAAATGGATGGACAGAAGGCTGTTCTCACTTTCTAAACCGGGAGGAAGCGTTCCCTCCTTGTGCCTTAAGATCGGACGAAGCTTTGGCAAAACTCAAGTCCTGTTCTGTCTCAAGGGTCCTGGAGTGGACCACCCAAGGCTGTTGGGCAGGTTGGCACCTTCTCTGTAACGCAGATATCTTAGAGAAAGGCCCCAG